CTGTTGATAAAACTTGATTATTTGCAAAAGCCAGGAAAGAAGTTTTTAAATTTGGCTAATAAAAGGTTAACTGAATTTTCACATTCACAAAAAATATAAAACCAAGTTAATTTATAAGTAAATTAGGACTTAATTTATATATAATATAAGTAAATTAGAAATTATAATATAAGTAAATTAGAAATTCAACAATAGTTATTTTATTTCAGAAATTAAATATTAATAATAAAAGTAAAAAACAATCACAGGAAAAACTTATAAAATGTTTAATTTTTTAAATATTTTCAACCAATCAATTGTATTGTTTAAATATTTTCAGCCAAACAACTCACTTTTCAGCAAAACAACAAAAACAGTCTACCTTAACTAGCATTTTTATTTGAAAATATAGTTATTTGTATTATTAAAAAAAATGTGCCTTTACTTTTTTTAAAAAAATTGTTATTAAAAAATAAATTCAGAAACTAATCTCTGGAAACAGAAAAATCCAGACAGAAAGAATCATGAAAATTTCCTTATAGGCTATAGTTACTGAAATGAATTTTCAATGTTTCAGATCAAACAATCCAAATAAAACTTGAATGTTGAACTTAAATTAAATATGAAATAAATAAAACTATGATGCTCTTGAGATAACAGTAGCACCAAATAGCAAACAACAAGGGCTGATATTTGACTGAGGCTGGAGCTAGAGCTATGGCCAGGGACTTTGGTCAGGCACACAGATTTAAATGATAAAAGTATTGAATGTTTTAAAATTAAAATTTTGTTTTTTGAAATAGTATATTGTTGTTTTTTTTTGAACTGAAAAAAAAATTTTTTTTTCAAAAAGTTTCAAAAGTATTTGCAATCCAAAGTTGAACAATTAATGTTTAAAATAGATTAGCAATCCAAAGTAAAACAATTAGGAAGAAAAAAAAATTAAAACCGCAATGAGGTTTTTCAGCGTTTTTACATAAAAAGACTATTTGGCTATAGTCTTGAAATGTATTATTTACTTTAAAATGATAAAAGCTTATAAAAAAACCAATTTTTAAAAAAAAATTTCATACACAAATTTGCTTTAATTTTTGTACATATTATCTTAAAACCAACATCTTAACAACATCTTAACAACAACATCTTAACAACAACATCTTAACAACAACATCTTAACAACAACATCTTAACAACAACATCTTAACAACAACATCTTAACAACAACATCTTAACAACAACATCTTAACAACAACATCTTAACAACAACATCTTAACAACAACATCTTAAAAACAACATCTTAACAACAACATCTAAACAACATCTTATCAACAACATTATCTTAAAAACAACATCTTAACAACAACATCTTAACAACAACATCTTAACAACAACATCTTAACAACAACATCTTAACAACAACATCTTAACAACAACATCTTAACAACAACATTATCATAACAACATTATCCTAAAAACAACATCTTAAAAACAACATTATCTTAACAACATTATCTTAAAAACAACATCTTAACAACAACTATCTTAAAAACAACATCTTAAAAACAGCATTATCTTAAAAACAACATCTTAACAACAACATTATCTTAACAACAATATCTTAAAAACAACATATTAACAACAACATTATCTTAACAACATTATCTTGTAAACAACATCTTACCAATAACATTATCTTAAAAACAACATCTTAACAACAACATTATCTTAAAAACAACATTATCTTAACAACATTATCTTAAAAACAACAATTAAGTTTATGCTAATCCAAATTATTAAAGTGCGCTTCAAAAATTAGTAAAATAAATTGCTTTGGTTATGTTTAGTTAAGTTAAAAATTTTCAAAAAAAGATTATATTTTCAAACAAAAAGATTGTTTATAATAACATCACTTAATAAAACAGCAAAATATTCACAAATAGGCATTCAACAGAGTTATTGTTGGAAAAATATTTTATTAAACCAACAAACTTTTAAAAATCAAATTAAGATGTCCATAGTTTTATGGAAATCTTTTTTTAGTGTCCTTTCTGATGTTTGAAAGTTATTTTTTAAAATATTTTTAATAGGCATAAAGTAATTAAATCTGACAATACTTTTTTTTCTAAATCAAATTTTTATACCTTTCTTTTTAAATCTCCTTATATTTATAAGTTATTGAATGATGGAAGTATTTTTAGCAAATGCAGCATAAAAAATTAACAAAAAAGCAAATCAAGCAAAATCAAGCAGTCAATGACCTTATATAAAAATTCTTTTAATTTTTTTATCTTATTTTTAAATGCAAAAAGAGCAAAATAAATCACTGTGTCAGTTAATAACCCTTGCTTATAATTTTATTTATCCCAGAACAGAGTTACAAAAAGTTTATATTTATCTGAGGTCAAAGAATCAGGTCACTTACTAGCAACAATAAGTTAAAAGCACAACAACAGGTAAAATAAACAAATAATGGTATTCGAAAGGTAAATTTAAAGTAAAGTCCTTATTCACAATTCAATGAGACAAACAACAGCTGTTGAATCAGCCACAATCAATAAATTCAATAAATTCAATAAATTACAATCACCTATATAAAACTAGTGTATCTTTTACCTACAAAAAAATAAAGAAGTGAAATTGCAAAGAAATTCAAATACAAGTGCATCAACAAATAAAACTCAGTAAGCAATTGCCATATGCATTTTTAAATTTGCATTTTAAATATGACACTGACAAATATACATTAAAATTAACATAAGTAAAGAATCAACTAGCAATGTGTAGTGAACCAGAAACAAAAATATACCCAAATCACAATCAAAAGCAGAACTAAAAATCAAAAAAAGTTTTCATCAAGTTTGTTCTCAATAAATATAAAAGTTGATATTCATAAATAGTTTTTACATAAGAATTAAACAATTCTCAAATAAAAAGTTCTTTTTTTAAATATTTTTAGAAGCAGTCTATTTCATTTTTTTAGAAGCAGTTGTTTCATTTTTTTTAGAAGCAGTCTGTTTCACTTTATAGTGTAGAACTTTTAATCAAATCTTTTCGAAATAAACACCATTTGTGTTTATTTTGATATGATACATCTCCCATCTTCATGTTTTCCTGACTCATACAAACCACAATTTTTTAAGACTTTTGTCAATCGTTTGCTCTTATTCTTTGTTTTCTAGTAACTCCTAACATAGTGGTTGCTTGCATAACAAACATAGTGGTTGCTTGCATAACAAACATAGTGGTTGCTTGCATAACAAACATAGTGGTTGCTTGCATAACAAACATAGTGGTTGCTTGCATAACAAACATAGCAGTTGCTTGCATAACAAACATAGTGGTTGCTTCCATAACAAACATAGTGGTTGCTTCCATAACAAACATAGTGGTTGCTTGCATAACAAACATAGTGGTTGCTTGCAGCCTTGTTGGGAGTGAATTGAATTAAAAAAAAGTCAACTCCTTCACTTCATTTTAGATTCCCTATATTTAATTTTTTTTTTTAAGCATACTGTCAATTTTTGGTAACTCCCAAATAAAAATGATGTCAATTTTTGTTTTTCAACCCTCATTCTAAAATAAAACTAAAAATGCATTCGTAACATAGATTTTTTTCTGGTTAATTATACATTTATTATTAACAGTTCTGAAATGATGAAGAAAAACCTGAGATTAATTGTTCTTTCAGATTTTGAAGAAATAAGCAAGGTTGCTTTTAAATTTAAAACATGTTTCCCATTATCACAGTTTCACCAATAATTATCAAAAGAAAGATTAAGATTAGCAAATCTCATCAAATAGTGTATTATTCTATATCTATAATATAAATTTACTCACTCCTTATTTTCCTAGTTATTGTTTATGTAATCTTTGATTAAAAAGCAAATGCTCTTCACAAACTAAAAGGTCAATGTCTTCTTGAGGTAAAATCAGATCCATTCCCTCAACTTCTTTTTTATCTAACCATTTAGTTTCTGAACTCTTCTGCAGATCAGTAACAGCCATCAATTCTCACTGACGCTTTGCAGCAAAGCGAATAATGTGAGACCATCAACAAGTTGAGCAATGTAATTTTATCCATAATTATTTTAAATATTTATGAGTATTGTTTACATAACAACTAGAACTGCAATTTTTCTCCTGCACATGCAAGCATTTTTATACCACATTGTAGGTGTAAATACCTTTAAAAGTTACTTATATATGCCATAAATAACAATAAAATAAACAAAATATAACAATAAAATTTTATTGGAAATTAAATTGTAAATCCAAATTATTAACAATATATAAATATACATTTTTTTAAAAAGTAGAATAAGTTTTGAACTTTTTTAACATAACTTAAATTTTTAAATGTTTTAATTTAAAATACGTTAATCGTAACAAAACTTTGAGAAGAAATTAATTTAAATTATCTTTTATTTGAACTTTCTTTAATAAAAGTGAAAAATGTGGACCCAAATAAAACAGGCCGAAAACGTCGAAATATGTACAAAATAGGATAAATCTAAAATTTATCTTTTTCGATTTAATGATTTTTCTCCAGCACATGCAAGCATTTTTATACCACATTGTAGGTGTAAATACCTTTAAAAGCTACTTATATATGCCATAAATGTAAAACTAAAACAAAAAAGTTTTTAAAAATTTACATCGTTTTGGTCTTAGCACCCTCCTTCCCCATTGTCAATTATTGTTAAAATTTTCAGCATCCCTCCCCCTTTCCCTCTGTTTAATAACATCATTTATGGCCCCTTAATGGTTAAAACCAAAAAAATATATAATTCAGAGTATATTCATGCTATATCTTTTTTCAGTAACCGAAAACAAGTCTTAAACCAAAAATCTCTAGTTGCGTTAAAACCAAATTTTGGTTTCCCATAATGCAATATTTATATGTTGGCTGGAACTGCAATATTTATATGTTGGCTGGAACTGAAACCAAACCAAATGCCTGTCAATTGCTAGTAATGTGTAAATAAAAAACTAATAAAAAGATTTTATGTGATTTAAGTACCTTCATTTCTTGACTTTTTGATATACCAAAACAATTAAAATTAGTATACTTTTCAGCAAGGTATAAAATTATAGGAACAGCATTAGCAACTATTAATTCTCCATCCACTAAAACAGGAACTTCACCATAAGTATTTAGAGCACGAAACGTTGGTTTTGACAACTCACCTAGGAAAAAAAAATAAAAAATTTGAAACTTATTAAAAGTTTAATGAAAACTATTGTACTTATAAAACATTACTATATAAATATTATTCATGCAAATATATTATAGCCTTATATACATGCAATTTGTATTGCATTATGTATTGCCTTAAATATATATTGTAGGTAATAAGTAAATTTTTTACTATTTTTTACTTTACATTTTATACTATTTTTTTATAAAGCAAAAAATTAAAAACAATTTAAAAAAATTAAAACAAATACAAGTACTGAAAAAAACATAAACTGATAAAAAAAAATTCAAACAAAAAGAAAGGACATTATACTGTACTAACACCAGACACCAGATAACAGATCTGGTAATGAGGAAAAACTGAAAATGGCGTCTTAATTCTAAAAATTTTCATCTTGGGTATAAAGTAAACTGTAAAATGCTTGTAGAAAGAAAGGTTTAAGAGCAAGAAAAATTTAAAATTACTAACACACCTTCTTCATCTATTAGATTGAAGCAGATATGAACAAGATTTACAAGGCTTAAAGGGATCCCAAACTCCTAACACATATTGCGTTCATATTAAAGATAATGTTAAAAAAAAAGGTTTGAACCAAGTTTTTTTGATTAAAAATAAATAATGAATCCATACCAAGAAAAACTAATGTTGTTGTTTTAGCCGAAGCTCGCCTTCTTCATTTCTTTCAGTAATTCGGGGTCTTTAAATTATACGTCGCAATCTACAGACTTCGGCGATTCCTTTGAAGCGCGTTTAATTCATAAAAGTTTTAGTATTTGACATCACAGTAGACTTTTAACAAATGAAACTCTGAAAATATTTTTATTTGTTTTTATTCAAAAATTTTTTGATTATTTGTTTAGTTTTTTTTTACTATTTTTAACATTTAAAAAGATATTAAAAATCTCAAATATTTTATGCTGGCTCATTGCTATAAATTGATATTGCGCCATATATTTAATGTTTATAAATTATCATTATTTATTATCTCAATTAAGACTCTGATAAAAAATTGTTTTACATTAATTACCTGTATAAAATTAGTAACAGCACTTTTATTTGGTTAGACAATATTTTGTGAATGAAGTTCGGGAAGTCAAACGAAAAAAATTAGTTTGAATAATCACTTTGAAATATATTTAAAACAAATTATTTTTATGACGGGGGTTTTAAAGTTTTTTTATAACAAATTTAGGTAAAAAATAAATATTCAAATAAAAAGTTCAACATTAAATATTTCTTTATTGTATTACAACTGTAAATATTGAAATATTAACTTGAACTTAATTTACTTATTATTAATTTACTTATTAAAAGCCCCTAAAATTATGCGATATTGTGTTGTTTATTTGATAATTGTTGTTGGTAATGTTGTTTATGTTGATTATTTTCATAAATATCAAAATAGTCCTAGATTAATCTGTTAGTTGCTTTGCTCATTATTGATTTATTTCTAATTTAATTTTATCTCAAAGTATAATTTTATGTTGAAAAAGAAAAGTTTTTATTTCATCGCCCACTCTTTTTATAAAAGAGTAGAACAAAAGAGAAGGAAAAGATTCGCGTAATTAAACTTCGAATAAATAAGAGTTGTATAGAATTTTTTTTTTTTTTGCGTCACTCGTTCTTTTTTTATATGAGAGAAATAAAAGTTTAATAGTAACTTTTATTTGATTAAATGAGAATTGGATAAGAAAATTGCTTGAAAATTTGTATTTGTTAATTGTGTTTTTAAAAAATTTTTAATTTTTTATGTCAAATGCCAAATACGACACATATTGGGAAATACCAAATATAATATGTTTTTTAACGCACGTTATGACATTTTGACAATTATTATTACCATATATTAGTTGTATAAAACGGGCGAAAATATATACAGTTTATGTTTTTAATTTGATGGTTATAAAATATTGAACAGCAAACTTATAATCAAAATTTATTATGCCGACTTGTGTTGCTATTAATTGTACTTTTAATGCAAAACCAGGATCTCACATATCTTTTCACGAATTTTCATATCTGATACTACTGTCAACTGTATTGTTTAGTGTATTCTTGTACTCTTTTTTCATAACCTTAACAGGTTCTAATTGGTATTGAGTTACCGACATTTTAAAAGTTTCGTTATCTAAAATCAAATGTAAAATAAAATGATATTTCCTTTTTATCCGTATCCAATTCAGTAAATTTAGCAATTTAAATTAAATCAGCGTAACCAAAAAAATTTTATAATAAAAAAAGTTAACAATTCATCAAATATCTCTAACTAATACTGTCAGTTTATGAAATTAATTGTTAATAAATACTTTTTTTCGACAGGAAAACGAAAAATATCATAGTGTAAAAATAACAAGAGAAGTTAGAAAATAGTTCCCATTGTTTAAATAAAAATAAGTTAGATTCAGAATATATAATACTGTGCTCTCTTGCACAAAAACAAGAGACCGTATACATAACATTCTATATAATGTAAAACACTCGTTTGAAAATCATAAGATTTGTAAGTAAAGCTTTAATATTTGTTTTAATTTAAAAACAAATTTTCATTTGTTAAAATTCTACTGTGACGCCAAATGCTAAAACTTTTATGAATTAAACGCACTTCAAAGGGATCGCCGAAGTCTGTAGATTGCAACGTATAATTTAAAGACTCCGAGTTCTTGAAAAAAATGGAGAAGGCGAGCTTTGGCTAAAACAACAACACTAGTTTTTCTCGGTATTTATTTTTAATCAAAATAACTTGGTTAAAATCTTTTTTTTTAACATTATCTTTAATATGAACGCAACATGTGTTGGGAGTTTGGGATCCCTTTAATTATACATTTATTCTCAACAGTTCTAAAATGATGTAGAAAAACCTGACATAAATTGTTCTTTCAGATTTTGAGATACAAACAAGATTCACAATGTTTCCTATCTAGAATGAGCACTGGGCTATATTTGTTTAGTTCTTAATAACTCTTCATATGTTTTTAAGAATGACTAATAGCAACTTTTTCTTTGATAACCTGATATGATCTTTTTTTCACTATATTAAATGACTAAAGTACCAAAAACTATAAAACAAAAAAAACCATTGCCATTACCAAGTTCTCTAAATCTATCATTCACTTTCACTCATTCTTCAAAAAATTTTATATTTTAATCTTCACTAAGTCTTCAAAGTAACTTTTCTTCTGTTAAGTCTTTTTGTAAAGTTCACCAGACTTGTTCTTTGTGAGACTAATTTGAGTTTGGCTGATGAGTCCGCCAAACTGTGTTTTAGTGTTAATGGTTATCTTTCTTTAATTCGTAAAGACTCCAATTTCTTCCAGTTAATGGTAATCTTTCTTTAATTTGTAAAGATTCATTCTTCATAATCAAAACCCTCTATTATCATACCATTTACAACAATCTTAAAACTGATTGGAACTCATTCTGTTAACTTCTTTGTAATGGCCCTTGGGTAGAAATCTTTTATCTTCCTGCTGAAAGATGTGCTTCTTATGTAACTCCTTAGATTCAGACTAGCATGGAATCTTTTATTACTTCTCGCTGATTCCAAGTCCAGCCTCACTCTTCTCCATGGTTTTCCTCTCATTGTGCTACTGTAATTTCCAATTGTAACCTTTTTACTTCTGTATCTATCATCAAAACAGTTTTCCAGAAAACAGACATCTGTTTACTTGTGTTAAAAACCATTGTAAAAATGTTTTGTCTAATGCCAAAGCCTATTATTCTCAGGTCACCAAATTTCATTATTCATCTCAAAAATTAAGCTCTCAATGACTTCTAGAGAATCTTTAACAGTATCTATATTAATGGCAAATCAGTTATTCCACTTTTCTCTGTTGTTCAGATTTCCTCTCTGCATCGTTTAGATTCACGCCACTGCATGGTTCAGATTTTGTTACCTCGCCTAAAGTCAAAACTAATTTGTTTGCTAAAATCTCATCAATCTCATCTCTTGATTCCACTAATCACATTCTACTTGATATAGCCAACAAACAGGTTGATCCATTGCTTGACATAATATTACTACAGCTTCTATATTTAAAGTGATTTCCTGATTAGACTTTTCTACAGCTTGTGGTCCGGACAACATACCTGTTATAGTCTTGCAGAAGTGTTATGGAAGTTTATACTTTCATTACTATTTAACAAGTGCTTATCGTAGTCTTTTTTTCCAGCTTTTTGGAAAGCGGTATCCAATATCCCTATTTACAAATATTATGGAGAGTTATCTGAATGGTCTAACTACCAGCCTGTTAGTCTTCTTACTATCATAAGCAAGGTTTTTGAGACTTTAATCAACAAACTCTCGTCTAGAGTCTAATAACTTTCTGAACATCAAAATTGTTTTCAATCTTCTTGTTCTACTGCTAATTTGTTAATGGTAATAACCGATAGGTTTTCTTGTTCATTTTATGCAGAGGTTAGAGCTGTCGCTCTCTGCATTTCTAAAGCTTTTAATAAAGTTTAGCATGCTGATTTTCTCCATAAGCTTTCTTCATATGGAATATCAGTAACAATCTCTTGCAATCTTTTAAATCGTCTGTTAATTGTTGTCTTGCTTTATAACCTTTATCTTTTCTCTTTCAATAACTTCCAACTCTAATAATGGTTGCTTGCAGCCTTGTTAAAGGGGAAGTTATTAAAAAAAAATAATAATCTGAGGGTACTAATAAAAAAATCTTAAAACTCAGTTTTGTGGTTCTAAATCAGCTGGTAGCAAAGTTTTCCAAACTTTTTATGTGCTATCACATAAAAAAACAAGCTAGTTGGATTATTGAATGATAAATTTATTAGAAATCAGCTTGATTCTTTTTCATATCAGGTAAGAATAAAATTAATGAAAACCTTTTTTGTCAACTATTATTTGTCTCCTTTTTTTATCCTAAATTTTCAGCATATTAATTGATGATTGACAAATTGATATAAATTAAAAACAATATAATTTTTTAAATAAACATATTTTAAAATTTCCTGCAAAGAAGAAAATTTTTTGAGTCATATATAAGCCTTATTTAACAAAAGGATTCTATAAGATCAGATTCAGAAAAATATTTTTTAACAAATTAGATTAGGTTTATTTTTTTTTAATAGACCACTTAGATCTAAACCAAAACTTAATGAGTATTAGCCACAATAAATCATAACCATTCAGACCCATATTCATTGAAGTTTATTATTCTAAAAACTAACTTATTATGAGTAGTAAGCTTCAAAAGTAAAAAAATACTTTCATAAAAATTCTTCAAAAAATCATAAAGATATACAAATAAAGATGCTACTATGGTACAACAAATAAATAAATACAACAACATTTATTTGTTAAATTTATAAAGTTAGGAAAATAAATTAATTTTTATAATAAATAATGTTAAAAAACCCACAGGCAGTATAATTTGGCTAATTGCTACTGCTGATAAGGTTGGTACATTAAGAGAGCTTTTCAATTTTTAAAAATTAAAATCAAAACAATTATATACATAAACATATTACATGTATATCTGTTTTTATAATTAAAATTACTCTTTACACCAGCCCAATAAACAGATGGGTGGATATCTTAATTAACGAAGGATTTTTAAAAAAGATTTTAAAATTGATTATATAAACAATAAGTATATAGATGGTATTACGCGTCAAGACTGCTAATTTATTCTTAATTAGGCACCTATGATAATTTTAGAGTTAATTAAATACTTTCAATGTTTTGTTGACTTTTTGACTATACATATTTTTTTTCTATTTTAATAATCCTGTTGTTCCAAGTTTATGTTTAAACTATGCTTCATTGAGATCAGATTAAAGGTAAACTTCAGGTGAAGATAAAGTGTAAAGATTTCAAAACAGATACAGTCTTTCAAAAAAATTCAAAAAAAAAATTAATTTATTGTTATCAATTGTCATTTAATTTTATAAAAAATTTTAGTTCAATGTTACATTGAGATTGTTGTTTCTTAAAGTTGAAAAAGTTGAAAAAGTTGAAAAAAAAGTTCTATAATACCTTTTTTGTATTTTACATAATTAACAGTGGTAGGAAAAGTGAACAAAATAAACTGCTATTACTAAAGTGTATAATATTTAATTAAGTGTAAAATATAATTGTTAACACTTATAAAAAACAGTCCAGGCAAAAAACAGTCCAGGCAACACCAACAAGTCCAGGTAAAAAAACAGTCCAGGCAACACCAACAAATATGTATAAAAAAAATACCAGCAAGTATGTAAAAAAAATTCAGACATAACTTCAAAAGTGGTTTATCAGGAGGTGGAACTACCTTTGTGGGTTTCATAAATAAATGTAGGTAAATTTTTTAATATATATAAAGCTTTGCAAAATTAGGCAATTTTTATTGAGAAAATTCAACAAATAAATATTGAAGTTTCTCAATAAAAATTGTTCATTACCAAAATGAGAAATCAGGGCTCGAATTAGACATATCATAATTGAGAATCACAAGTGCTTGTCACACCTTAGTGATTAGTTTTTTCTTAAAAAATCATTTTTGTGATTTATTTTATTATTATTTTTTCTTTTCTAATTTAGCTTTTTTTTTTTTTTGCACTTCTTACAAGTAATACTTTTGTCTAAGTTTTTTATTAGGAGTCATAAAGTACATCACATTAAATTTATCTTTTGAATAGAAGAATGATCTCTTGTGTGGAGATTTTTAACATAAAGCACTTTTGAATTTAAATTACTTTAAACCTCTGCATGGGAGCCAATAATATTTTAAAATTATATTTAGTGTGATTTACTTAATAGGTTAAGTACATCACAGTAAATTCACCTATAAACTAAATCAAAACAATCAGTTACTACAGTTAAGTTACTCAACAATTAAATTTACCTAATATACTCAAAGAGTGACAAAAGTCATAATGTTTCTATCTTATATGTTGTTAAAACATAATAAGCTTCTAACTAAAAATTATTTTAACAAGAATATTTCAATAGAATATGAAAAACGCAATACCATTTTTTCTATATTTCATTTTTAATTAAACGGATACCAAAATTAATTTTTTTTTTAATATACCCAAGTTTTTTTTGGGAATTTTTTTCAAAAAGAAATCTTTTTGAACAAAAGAATTTTTATCTTCTAAAATACTTTTATTCAAATAATTTTGTGATTGAATTAAAATTTAAAATTATTCAAATAATTTTGTAATATAATTAAAATTAAAAAAGATAAAATCGTAAACATTTTGAATAGTTAATTTTTTTTTCTTTCTTAAAAATAGTTTTAAAAGTAGAAACATTCTTTTGTAAACATTAAACCCGTGATTATTGCAAACATTAAACCAAAAATTAAATTATAAAAAAATTACCAATTTTTTTTTTTTTTTTTTTTTTTTTTCTATTTATTACAAAACAATTTGAACAAAAAAATGAATAAAAAGATCAACTTTAAAACCATTCAATGAATGAATCATTTATTTCACTTTATAAAATAAATACAAAGTTAGGATCAGTCACAATCAGTCATGTAACTGACAAAAACTTGACTTACAAATACTTACTTAAAAGACTTACAAATATTCAATGTAAATTTGACAAAATATATAACATCACGAGTACTGGTAATAAATAATAATAATATTAGTCATATTAGAATAATAACATTAACAATAATAAAAAAACAGCACTTATTTAGAATGATATACAGTGACAAAAATACAGTGACAAAAATATCAACAACAGATGTTATTTAAGAAAAAAGGCAAAAACAACTTTAATTTTACATGTATAAAGAATAAGGTCAAAACAACATAAATAAATAAAATACGACGATAAATAAAAAAAACTTTATTTTTTTTTATCTTGGATTTATTCATTATGAAGAGAGCTCTACTTTTTTTTAAACATTGTTTAAAAAAAAAGTCGAGCTCTATTATTTTTGTTATTAATTATTAAAAATTTCGAGGTAATATGGATATAATTATCGTAAACTTTAAAATTAACCTAATTTTGTGAAAAAAAACCTGTTAAATATGATAGTAATTATCTAAAAAGGGCTAAAGAAGATGTTAAGAACAGAAAATCAATGAATGCAGCTGCAAAAAAATACAATATTCCATGAAACTTTGAGACGATGGTGTGTAAATCCTCGAACTCATCAAGGCTCTGGAAGAGGAACAGTATCAATAAGAGAAAAAGAATATATAGCAGATGCCTTAATTTTTACAGCAAATTGTGGATATTCACTAGGCAGAAAAGATTTGCAATATATGATGCACAGTTATGCACTCTCGAGTCCTTAATAAAGGAGGGGTGGGGGTAATATTCATTAATTTTTAGAAAATTTTTCCACCCACCCCAAGTTTATTAAGCACAGCTCAGAAATTTAAAGTTTAAGTTTACTTTCCAAGAACCCCAAAAATGTTAAAAATTATAGTAAGTGGGGCATCTAGACACTTCATTTTCATATTTGGAAAAATCTGAGAGCTATCACATTATTAGAAAATTGACATTGCAAATATGCAAAAAGTCATTTTTTTGTATTCAAAAAAACTAAATATACTTACAGAAAGTTGAAGTTTATTTTAAAAAATACTCATGTACCAACTTTTCAAGGTCTTTAATCTAATACTTATACATAAATATAACTAGAATACTCAAAGTTGGTCAAAAAAACATTCTGTAATAAAAAATTTTTTTTTTTGATTACGCTTTTTTATTTTCATTTTATTAAAGATACTTATATTATAATATAGATACCTATGCATTATTATAGATACCTAATTTATTAAATCTATGGCTGCTCGGTTCTCAAAGGAGAGTAGAGAATCTCATTTTAAAAAACACCATGTACTTTTTCAAAAGATCATCTGCTGTTGCTGCCTTGAAAAGAACAACAAATGCATTCCAGTAAATAAAAATTTGATAGGTCTGGCTCAAGCTTTCTGAAAGTCTGAGTTTTCACTGAAAGTATTTGCCTACCCTACAGAGTTATCTCTGTAAGGCTGGTAAAACTATCGCAGGCACAGTTACTCTAAAATGGAAAAATGCTGATTTGTCTTGCAAACCTCTAGAGATTGCTCAATATTATGTAGCATATGCATTCAAGCATTATATGATATGCATTCAAGCATTATATGATATGCATTCAAGCATTATATGATATGCATTCAAGCATTATATGATATGCATTCAAGCATTATATGATATGCATTCAAGCATTATATGATATGCATTCAAGCATTATATGATATGCATTCAAGGAAGAAATAACTAAAAGTACAAAAAAGGGAACTAGCTCAACACTGAAACTTTGCCTAATATGCTTCTGTGAAATTGTTAAAGGTAAAACTATAAATGTTCACCTTTTAATGCAGGATTTATTTCTGAGAGTATTTATAAAATCTACAAAAAAGTAAAGAAACAAGTAGCTCCTTCCCTTCTTAAAGAAATTTATTCTGATAAAAAGCAAAGTCTAGGAGCTCAAATTATTCTCGGAACAGGTAAAATATTGTAAAATAAAAATACCTATGATATATATTCTTAAAATAACAGTTTATCTTATGATAAAATATTATTCTCAAAGTAAACAGTTGTTTTATATTAAGGAGGTAAAATTTTTCATATTACACTTGGTACTCCAGAAAGGGATCAGAGAAAGATTCCTTATAATGAGGTAGAAGCTTTGGTAAATACCTTAGTCAGTTAAAGTCTGATGAAATATTAAAAACTTTGAAATATTAAAAACTTTGAGTGTAAAGTTTGAGTCAAACAAGGAAAAAGTCCTGGATGAAAAAAGTAAACTACTTCCAAACCGTCGCTGAACTATAGACTGAACTATTAGACTTTCAAGAAAAGGAAAAAGATTATAATTTTGCTACAGTGAAGACTTTGTATATATTAAAAGAGAGACTTTGTATATATTAAAAGAGAGACTTTGTATATATTAAAAGAAAGACTTTGTATATATTAAAAGAGAGACTTTGTATATATTAAAGATATTACAACATTTCTGGATTTTGTAATGAAATATTGAGGGCAGGTTCCACAAAACACATTTGTAAAGATTGCGATGGATTCAGGTATTTATATTTAAATTTTAATAATTGTCTTTTTGAAAACATATTTTTGAAAATATTATTTTTACATATTTATATACAAATATGTATGTGTGTATGTATATAGATATAAACTTATAGGTGGAGGATCATTGAAATTAACAGTAAATCTGTTTAATTCAACCAAGGACAGGGCAGAAAATAGCAGCTCCATAGGATCATACTCAGAGGCAAATACATCATTTTTTTTAGCTTATTGTGAAAGGGTAAGTGAGAATCATTCTAACATGACAAGGATGATGGAATGATTGAAGTTGCATGAATGCAAGTACTCATTGGCTTCTGACATGAAGTTAATATTGCAAGGAAATTCGGTATGTTATTTTTAAATAATTTTAAGATAATAAGACATACGAGATAAATACTACATTAGGAAAAGGTTTTTTTTTACCCAAAAACATTTATAAATTGAATTAATATATAAAATTGCAGGCTCATGGAGGAAAGTATGTCTATGCATAGTGGGAAGGTTCTTCTGAACTATTTTATGGAGAGTTAAGAACATTTCAATCTTTGAATGATTACTATGAACTGTCTGAACTTCATCTGCAGGATCTTCAGTGAAAAAATGAAGGAGTATAAAGTATAAATAAGTATATAGTAAATATTTTCAAGATTTATTCATTCATCACAAATTTATCATTTTTAAAAGGATAAAAAATTATTATTTCCATGTATTTAGAATGTTATTAATCCTTGTCTGCTCAAGATAGAAGAAAAATCCTTAAGTATAATAAGAGAAATTCCATCACCAGAACCTTACTTTCTGATGGGATTTGTTAACCATATGGCAGAATTTATAATACAGCTTTGGTCTGGATTATACATTGGGTCAAGAGTAGGGATGGCAAACCTGGGATCCCAGAATCCCAAATCCCAGGATTCCGAACAAATTATTCATCCCAAAATCCGGGAATTAGTCTGTCACAGACTAATTCCAGGATGTGTCACAAAAAAAAAATTTTCTGGGATTTTGGGATGGTCACAAAAAAATAAAAGTGCAAAAAGTTTAGGCTTAATTTGTAATTAAAAAACTTGTACACCATAAAAGGTAAATATAGACTTTGGAATAGTAGCTGTTTAGTTTTTTTATTCTCTTTGCAATGTTTTCTAAAGTTAATACTAAAGTAATTAGTGAACAATTGAATGAAATGATGGAAGAAGGATTGGCAGCAATACAAACACGTCTTATAAGGGTAGTAAAATAACTTCAAAAATTTAAAAAAAAATACTGTTCTTTGGAAGTAGTAGCTCAAGATGTGATCACCTTAAAAAAACATATGATTATATACATAAGGCTATAGATATGGTATCTATATGGCCAACAAAAGTGAAGTCTGAACGAGCATTCTCAGCTGCTGGGTTTTTATGTTTGAAAAATCGAATACAATTAAGCGATGAACTGATTGGCGCTTTGATTTTTTAGGGTAGTACTTTCAAAAATAAATATAACTCATGCATATTCATGCAAATCATACTATTTTTATTTAAACTGTGCTATCAAATCATGGTATTGTTTTATAATTTAAATTACTTTTTTTTATTTCTGATTCATTTTTTTCATTTGTGGTTCATTAATAATGAATGAAGTATTTTATTTATATTATCATTTAATTAATCATTTTTAAGTGTTTGATGAATCCTTTAAATGTTAGTTCTTCGTATGCTTCACTTTCTACCATTACATTTTTTTCTATTTATTTCCAGGATTTCTCAGGGACAAGTTTTTCAATCCTGAAATCCCGCGATTGAAAATGTCCGGGATTTTTGCTATCCCTAGTCAAGAGCATTGGATGCCTTCGAAAAGATTACCATAGAGAAACATTTGAAGGAAATACGTGTAGAAAGGTACTTGAAAGTTGCGACAAACTTGAGTTGATAATGCCTGTTGAACAAGATCCTCTTTTGGAAACAATCAGAAAGTTTAATAAGGTTTTTCATGGTGTATTTGGCTATAAACTTAACCCAAATTTTTCAATTTTAATTGAAAATTAAAAATAATCGCTGTATTCTTTAACTTTTGTATTTGAAACCAAGTTATTGATAAACATATTTATAGTAAATTATTTTAGTTTTTAGATAAACAGCTCACTGAAATCTTAAAAGTACATGTTGTAACCGCACATCTGGAAACATTTGTTGATTTGAGTGGTAAAAAGTGAAATAGACAGGTTTAGAGTTTCGCAGCACAACAACAAACAGCAATAGCACAACAAAACATGGAAAGAAGCAAAAGAATTGCTGAAATGTTTAGTTCAAATAAGTTATTGAACATACATCAATTGTACATCAAAACACAAACATTATTGAAACCTTAAGTTAAAAATATTTGTAAATTCATTCAAAAAGAAAATAAAAACATACTACTATAAACAATTTTACAATATTTAATTTATTATTTATTATATTATTATTTATATATTAGGTTATACTGCTACTTGTAACATGTAACCCAGTACAATCTGCTTCATGTCTTGCTGCCTTGTAGGATAGGCTTTTTTAGGCAAAGGCTAGAAGAAGCCAACTCCGACTTAAAACACACCCTACCTTGGGGCTCTTGGTTGAGTAAAGGCTAGAGATAGTGTCTTGATAAAAATACTCATCTTGGGGCAGATGTTAAGGGGTAAACAGATTCTATTTGTTGACCAGCCTCACACCCCTTCCTCATCTATTAGGCTGGCGCACATATATTTATAATACATTGTTTCCAGTTTAGTATGTTGAATGCTGGATCTTCTTGACTCTATGCATAGGTTTTGCTTGTGTCTCTATTTTTATGACTGACAACTCATTATATTATCTCCTAATAAAGGTACAGCTTATAAAACTCAGTTTTATGGTTCTGAGGCCGGCTGGTAGTCAGGTTTTATGAACTCTGTGGTAGCTTTCAGAGAAGCTGATTCCATCAACAGCTGAAAAATATCAGAGTACTGACAGTGCCATGTTGCACATGGATGGTGTCCCTGTTTGTACTTTAGGTGTGCATTGTTAAAGCCACATTTGAAGCCCTTTGTTACAGCTTAGGGTTTATTAATAGTACTAAGGTAATTGCTTGGGCTATAAAACTGTGTACTGAGCACTGTCTATGCTTTGAGTCAAGTTCTTAAACAAATTTAAAGATAAATAAAGTACCAAAAACTATAAAACACAAAAAACTAATGTCATCACCAAGTTCTCTATCATTCACTAATATTCATGGTCTTTGAAGTAACTTTTCTTCTGTTAAGTCTTATCTTTTGCAAAGTTCATCAGACCAAATTGCTCTTTGTGAGACTAATTTGAGTTCAGCTGTCTTATCTTGCGATCTTAGTGTTGATGGTTATCTTCCTTTAATTTAAAGACTCCAATAGTCACATGCTTGGCCTGGGCATTTACATTCGTAAGAATTCACCCATTTGCGAGGAAACTAGGTTTGAATCCACAGACTACTCTTTTATGTACTTTCATTTAGCACCACTTCACTTGATTGCCTTCCTCTTTGTTCTATATCGCTCTCCTTCATTTCAAGACTACACTCTTTTTGATGTTATTTCTGATCAAATTAAGCAAGCCCTCTCTCTTTATCAATCAGCCAATATTGAGGTTGTTGGTGACTTTAATGCTCATCACACTGACTGGCTTGGCTCTAGTGTCAGTAACTCTGCAGGTGTTAAAGCCTACAAATTTACCTTTTTCAATCTCTAATTCAAATAGTCAAATTTTCAACTCGCTTTCCAGACAACCTGAATCATTTACCTTCCCTACTCGACTTGTTGTCTTGTTTCTGATCCTAGTCAGTGCTCAGTTTCTCCAGATTCATCCTTAGGTGCTGCTGATCACAGTTTGATCTCTCTAAAACTATTATCTCATTCTTCTTCATCATCTGAATCCTCCTATCATCGTACCTCTTACAACTCAGCTGACCTTATACTCTTTCCGTGATTTTCTTCGTGTTGGCCCTTGGGTAGAAATCTTTTGTCTTCCTGCTGATGAATGTGCTTCTTACATAACTTTGTGGATTCAGGCTGGCATGGAATCTTTTATTCCCTCCCAACAATTACAGGTCTAGCCTCACTCTTCTCTGTGGTTTTCCTCACATTGTGCTGCTGCAATTTCTAATCGAAACCATTACTTCCATATCTATCAGCAAAACAATTCTCCAGAAAACAGACGTCTGTTTATTACTGCCTATAGGATCCATTGTAAAAAGGTTTTGTCTAACGCCAAAGCCCGCTACTCTCAGGTAATAAAATCTCGTATTTCATCACAAAAATTAGGCTCTCATGACTTCTGGAGAATCTTTAATAGTATTAATAATAAGAACAAATCTATTATTCCACCTCTCTTGTATGGTTGAGACTTTGTCACCTCACTTGAAGACAAAGCTGAACTGTTTGCTAAGAACTTTTCATCAGTACCATCTCTTGATTCCACTAGTTGCATTCTACCTGAGTTAGTCGGCAAACAGGTTGATCATTGCTTGACATATGTATCACTCCAGCTTTTTTTATCAAAAGTAATTTCCTGCTTATACTCTTCTACATATTGTGGTCCAGACAACATACCTGTAATAGTCCTGCAGAAGTGCTCTTCAGAGCTGTCATCTATACTATCAAAACTATTTAACAAGTGCTTTTTGGAGTCTTGTTTTCTAGCCTGCTGGAAAGCAGCATCAGTTATCCCTATTTTCAAAAATTCTGGAGGGCAATCTGATTCATCTAACTATCGTTTCATTAGTCTTCTTCCTATCATAAACAAGGTTTTTGAATCTTTAATTAACAAATACTTAATCTCTCATCTTGAATCTAATAACTTATTTTCTGATCATCAATATGGATTTCAATCTTCTCAATTAAAAGCATTTGCAACTCTAATAGTGGTTGGTTGCAGCCTTGTTGGAAGCTGCAACCAACTACTATTAGATCTTTATCCTTTGCAACTCTAATAGTGGTTGGTTGCAGCCTTGTTGGAAGCTGCAACCAACTACTATTAGATCTTTATCCTTTGCAACTCTAATAGTGGTTGGTTGCAGCCTTGTTGGAAGCTTAGATGTTAAACAAAAAACAAAAAACTATGCATACAATACTATTCTACTAAACTACTTATATACTATGAATATGTTCTACTTTACTAAGCACACTATGTTCACACATACTATGTTAACACATTATGTTCACACATACTAAGTTCCTAAATTAATTTCAAGCATATCTAAACTTTTTTTTGCTAGCTTAAAGCAATCTAATGATGTTGGTGTATAAATACAAAATTAAAAAAGCATAAAAAGTTGGAATATAAAGTTAAAGGAATAAAAAGTTAAAGTGTAAACAGACTTTAAAAATTGTCAGCCTAGTGATTCTTGATTTGTCAAAAATGAGCTCTCGGTTCATTTCTCATCAAAGTGTAACACTTATATCACCAAAATTATGATAAAACATCTGTTAGAAAATGCGCATTTGACCGCAAACCACACTAGAATTAAATAGTTTTTTGCTTGTTTTGTAAAAAGTATTAGCTTGAATTTATAAACTGAAATTATTTATAAAAAAATACTTATTTTATAACATAAAAAAATTCCCATCCTTCTTTTTATTAATCCCTCCCCCCCTCCTGTTTATTAGATCTTACCACCACCACCAACCCCCACACCTTGTATTAAGAACTCAAGAGTACAGTCAGCGGGTAGAAAGATACCATTTAAAAATAACACATCCAGTTATGATTTCATTATAAATTTTGAAAGAAGATGGAAGATGAACTTGCAAGGCGAAAGCCTTAAGTATTGATTAAAGCAAAGGCTGAAGTGCTATTTAGATATGTGGTAGATGAACTTTTTAAAAGTTATCAAAACAATCTGGATGTAAACAATTGAAATGACCAAACAGAAAGAATATTTAATTTAGATGAAACTAGGCTATGTACAGAGGGTAAGTTAGTTACCCTACTAAGGGTAAAATATTTGTTTCTAAAAGTGCCAGGATAACATTTTCACGTTCAGGAAGTGCTGGGAAACTCCAGTACAGTGTTCTTTTTTTAGCAAGTGCTGTTGGTAAATGCTACCCACCTTACAACCTGTACAGCAAGGGATAATGGCATTATACTTTTATGTTTACCACCTCGAATGTCACATCGTCATTAACCATTGGATGTTGGTGTATTTGTTCTTCTGAAAAATGACTGGAAATTATATATATATACAGGGGTCGAAATAAGTGCCGGACATCGCCGCCCCTCAGACTATTTTTGAGACCTGCTAGATGAGGGCAACAAACCATTGTTCATTTTTGAAAAAAAAATAAACAATGGTTGGTTGCCCTCATATAGCAGGTCTCAAAAATGGTCTGAGGGGCGGCAATGTCCGGCACTTATATATATATATATATATATATATATATATATATATATATATATATATATATATATATATATATATATATATATATATATATATATATATATATATATACATATATATATATATATATATATATATATATATATATATATATATATATATATATATATATATATATATATATATATATATATATATATATATATATACACACACACACACATATATGGGAGATTCCATGTGAAAACATCCAGGGCATGCAACCCTAAGTCTCAGATTTTGCTGATTTTTAAACTACTTAAAGATTTTAGTAAATTATTAATATCCTGAAAATTTTATTGTCTAATTTCAATCGGTTCCTAAGATATAGCTATTTTAAGTTTGCCTCCAACCAACAAAAATCCGCCATTTTTAAGAATGGTTTTGGTTCTAGTTTCTTTTATATGTGCTGAAAATTTTTAACTTTACATATTTTGGGCCAATGAATCCAATGAAACAACTTAAAATATTTAAAAACAAGCATAACACCTGAAATTGGAACATTTACCACAATTTTACTGGGGTGAGTCCAATCACAAAAATGCAGATGTAGCTTGATTTTTTTTTTTTTTTTTTTTTTTTTTTTTAGAAGTTGTTTTGAATAGTTAAGCTATAGTTACTACAAAGAATTGGAGAGTGGTCTTTTCTAAAACAGAAATAAAAATATGGTCAAATCTACTTAAATTTATTGCTTAAAAAATAGCTATTTTGATAAATTAAACAATACAAAAAAATGTGATAATTTGACAGTTCTGTAGCTAAAACAGTTTTGGCTATATCGAAATGTTCTTTTAGATGTTGTTGAATTGCTGTTTCTATTTTTTTAGTAGTTTTATGATTTAGAAATGTTTATAAGGTTGTAAAATTAAAGTTATGATGCTTACTAATTGAGTTAAAATTTCTAATCCTAAACAACCTTGACCCCATGAACACATTGAATGTATCATACATTTTTCTTGCATTTTTTTTAGAAATAATAAA